TGCATCACAACTTAGAGGGTTTTTCTTCAGTTAATGCTTCCCAGAGAGCCTACAGTATGTACTGTAAGAGTGATTTAGGGAGCCAGGCATGCTGCTGTCTTCTCAGAGTTAATGATGGCTGTCTGTTCCTGCTGTGTAATTTCATAACAAAATCCTAAGCCTTAAGTTTATTTTTGGCCACTTACAGTTCCTTCTTGTCCTCCAGCAATCTGAAACAAAAAGCTACAAATACATTTTAACATTTAGAGGCAGTCCTTCCACACTAACTACTGTTTGGACATCAGGCAGTATGTTTTGATTTCTCCTTATTAGCCTTTTTGGACAACTTTGCCAAGTTTCTACATTAACCTTTTTTACATACTGTACCTACGGTTGTTACTATTTATAAACTAATGGAAATCTAAAAATACTGTACATGCAAATAGTTTTATATATTAACATGCATTTACATATTACCGGTTGCTTTGCATAGTTTTTAAATATTACACAGTCAATAATTCTACGTACTTCAGGTGACCTTGACACTCAATGAATATTGCAAATGTTTTGAGCATTACGCCACGGGACTAAATAATGGGAACCTGGGTGTGGTTACACCGTGTGGTTACAAAAGATTTCATAAATGGATTGTTAGGGTGTGAAATCGTTATAGATGATAAAGTCAAACAGCAATAATTTAAATTCATGCTGTACGTTGAAACAGAGTAGTATAGAAGCTAGATTACCCAGCTCAAAAGCTAACGTCAGGATAAAAAGAAGCGAGGTTCTTCTATATGTGTTTCGATTCATTTACACTAAGGATGACCAGCAAAGAACCTTTTTTTGTTTGGAATGCTTATCACTGCCTCCCATGTGACCTAAAGCATAGTTCTTTCAGTTACTTTTGCAGCCTCATTTGTAAAGGCTTTCAGCGAATGCCAGTTTTGCACTGTTACGATATTTGTAGCTTTATTATTGCAAACAGTAAAACCCTTTATCTATACTTGTGAATACCTTGTTTTCAGTCACCTAACTTCTAACTTCACATACCATAAAGACAAAGGTCACCCTTTTATATTAGATGTTATTTTTTGTGTAAACGATAGGTTACAGCTTTTATTTTGAGCGATTTCTTAATTACTGTAGCTACAGTATCAGCCCGCAGATTACATTATTTCCTTTTAGTAACATTGCGCCTGTCATTATTAAAGATTTTTTAATACAAAATGTGAAGAAGTCTCTTTCTTTTTACAAGGAAGCTCTGAATGTTTCTGTAATTTAATAGTTATAATGACCCTAGTCTGCTGCACCTTGGGCATTCATTTCTGATAAAGTGGATTATAGGAATGATGTTTAAACCTCTCCCAGGAATCTACTTTAGTTAAGAGTAAATAAAAAAAACCACTTTGGGGGTCTTCTAAGTGATTTAGCCAGGCAGATGTACAGTAGCAGGTTAAATACTGGGGCCCAGAGATTGCGAGTTGGAGCATGTCTAGAGAGCATGTCTCTAGTTGACTGTGACCAGGATTCACCAGGTAGAGATGCTTTTTTGTCCAAATGTCACCAGAGGTAAATGGCTACACATAACTGGCAGTGCACTGCCAAAGGCAGGTCTAGGATCAGTTGGCCAGGGTTTCATCAGCTTTCTGGCAAATTAAGATAAACAGCAAGTGAAAGACCGTTTAATGCTATTTCATGGAGCAAGTCGGGTATACTTTTCCAGAATGAACATGTTCATTCTTACATTGAACATTTCTTTCAGAAAACTATTTTTTCAGTAATCTGTAGAAATAATAAAATAAAATAAATCTTTCAAGGAAAATATCATTAGATCCAACAGAACACATGTAATAGTCTATTGTATGTAGGAGAAAGGAAAATGGTACACAATATCCCTTTAAGCGATGGGAGTGTCCATTATTGTGCTATTTGGCATATGTTGCTTGAGCACAGAAAAGTGCTGTTTTCTCAGTCTGGCTCTACTCCAAACTACCATTAGCCTCTCTGGAAAGCTCAATACAGGCTGTGCTTCTATTTAAACGACAGATTTATATAGTTTGAGTTCTCTGGTAAATAATGTCCTGTGTATTAATTAGTTTGTATCTTTGTGAAAAAGAATACTAAAAAGTCAGCCAGATGTATGTTTATCAGGCATTCAAAGTTCATTGCATTCTATGTACACATTTATTGTGATCCTTCACAGATCATAGGGAGCTGCAGTGAATTTGATCCACAATGGTTTGAAAATAAAATGCACATTTCTTTTTTGGTATATTATCATTATGTTATTGCAAAATTATTGTTTTGTGTTACCAAAGAGGACACAAACAGTAACGATAATTTAGATATACAGTATTTCACATCATTTCAAATAAATAACATTCACATGCCTCTCAGTACACAAATTGCTAAAACATGGTGCCAGTAAGGAGACATTTATCTATGTACTTTTAAAACACAGAGCTTCTGTAGTCTTGCTTTAACTGAAGACTCTTTATTCATCTGAGTGCTTTTTGACCAGTAGCATCTGAAACAAGCAACCATTACTTGAGCCAGAAGCACAGCTGGGAGTGCAGACATGAATGATCTCTGACAGCCAGGGAAATCAGGGCTTTTAATCAGGTATTAAAATACCAAGGCAAGCTCAAAAGAAAAAATAGTGTTCTTTTCCTCAAGATGTCCTTCCATGATTTCCCTGCTTTCAGCTAAGCCCCTTCATGTTTCAGACTTACAGTACCTTCACTTTAGAAATCATCAGATTGTTTGTCTCTGTCAACCCTGACTGCATATATGACTTTATTTCCTTTCACTTGATCATGATAAAGTGAACTGTGCATTGACCGACCTTTGAGTTGTCTGCCTGGCTACTTGGCTATAATTAATGGTTTAAAAGCTGTTTTCTCATTTACAAGTACAGTGGTTTTAGTCAAATAGTTTTTTTCTTCTTTAGTAGTGTTGATGTAAAAACACATATGACACCTACACCTTTGCAATTATTTTTAATGTTAGTTTCAAACAGTGCTCATTTTTATCTTCTGTTTCCAGGTCAATCTCTTTTACCTTCTTGACACACCATTATTAAAGAACTGTAGCAGGACACACTTGCATTGATTGAGGAAATAATAAGGTGACAATCATCATCTTTCCATTATAAGACATGCAGTCAGACATTTGATACAGGTGTGGAACGCCTGCAGATTTGATTTTTTTCTGTCCTGCATTTGTTTTACTATGGTATGTAGAGACACAGTACACTTCCTTTACAATTGGGCAGTTAGTTGATTTTATATTTCATTGCTACTGCTGATTGATGTGTGTTTTTCTAATTATACGTCTCTTAAAGTACATAAACAAGGCAACTTTTTTGCCTTGGATTGCGGTTTATACAGGTACAGGTAGTTCATGTAACTGCAGCTACTAGCTGTATCAGTATCTCTGTTCAGTGTAAGGATACAGATTCAGCCTATGGATAATTACCAAACATGAAAGCGTAATAAAACTCAAGTTAAAATAACAGAACAGAATAAGTCCAGCAGGTGATGTTTTCAGCGATATTCATCGTTAAATATGGAATGGATTGTCCTAGCCAAACCTCTTTGCCACTACAGGTCCTGATGTATTGACCAAAAAAGATTTAAAATTCTGTTTGAGTCTCTGACAATGTCCTTATCCTAATGCAGAGCTTATTGATTTTCACTTGATTATGTCATTAGTCTTACTGTACGTCTGGAAGGTTTTAAAATTTTTATAAATTTTATAATTTTATATCTTCCATAATAATTGAGGGAAGGGCAAATTTGTTTATAGGTGTAAATGGTACGTATAATGTTAGGTGCAAGGCTGTAACTTTGTTTAAACATTGTAAACAAGCTTGGTTCTCAAGTCATTGCACCAGAAATAGCTGCTTGGGTTATTGTAATTTTTAGCTGGTGGTGCATCAAATACATTAACTTTAAGGCTAGAAGTACTTTTATTTTTTTCTGTTTTCAGCTTATTAAAATTGATTTTGCTGGTGGTTTTAGGAAAAAAGTACAATTTTAAGGCATTTTCAAAAGGTAATCTCAAGTTATTTTTCAAATATGATAGAGATTTGTGACAGTGAACTCCTTGATCCTCCCCCATAACAATTACACAACAATTATAGTATATAAAAGATTAGATGTTGCTAAGTGTGAGACATTGTCATTGCATAAGAGTAACAAGAACTTTAAAAATCGTACTTGTGACAGTATTTAATTTTTTCCAAGAATGTGTTCTTCCTAGTCACTCCACCAAATATCGTATTCCTTGGGATGACAACTTGTATGCATAAATAAAAATAATTTAAAAGTTATATAATTATACATACCAGTTAAATAGATTTTATCCATTGAATTTTCCTTCAAGACTCAAACAAAGTTAAACTTATTATCATCTAGTAGAACAGTTTAATGGGATCTTAATGGTTATTGATGTTTATTATGAAAACACACAATATTTGGTCAATCATCTACTGTATATTTTCAGGGAAAATGGTTGTAAATTAATGGCAACATTTATTTATTTTAAATGTATTGACCTTCAATAAATGAAGGGGATACATGGAGCAGACTACAATCTACTGAGGCTTGTAGTGTAAGGTAAAATGAACATTATTATTTAAGCTATTTACTGTATAGTTGTTTTATTCTCCAACCTTTATTTACTGTGTACTGTACAGCAGTAGCAGGGTAATGATTTGCAATTATTCTCAAAAGTAGTGTTTCCCTCCCAAAAAAGGATGAATATTGAAGTAACAAATTGGGCGTTGTAAAATTCTAAAGAAGCAGCTTCTTAATCAGATGCTCTTTGTAAACACGCCTTGCAGTATGAGCAGCATAGCCAGACTTACATGCAGCAGATTAAATTCTTCTTAGTGTACTTTGCAGGTCAGACGCATCAAAGCAATCCACCTGACCTACAGTACAACAGATTAACTGCTGCGTTACTGTACTTTGTCTGTTTATTCTGCAGCCATTCAGTACAGCAGGTAGAGTCTCTGGGTGTGTCAAACATATTTTGATAAGTACCTGTTTGCAGTTTGCGGAAGCAAGTGAGAGTAATTGGACACCTATGCTGTTGCTGGGAGTTCCTGCTCAGGCTCGGGGGATGGGTGAAGGGGGAGGTTGGCAGCCTGCATTCCATTTGAAACCTGGAGGGCTTTTTCAAGCAGCACAGAGTTCTCCTGTACACTCGCAAATGCCAGATTTGAAAAAAACTAATTCTGAGGCAGGAATCAGCTCCTAACTTCAGACAGGGTGCATTGTCCGAGAGACCAAGAACTGGAAAGTTCCTGACTGGCTGACTCACAGAACGGGCAGGAAAGTCTCGTTTTCAAGTTTTTTTTTTCCTATTTCTTTCCGCTGTGATCTCTTCCTGTAGCACTGTAAATCCTTCTTTTTTTTCAGAGAGATTATTCACCGGCATTTTTTTTTTCTTGTGGATCTTTACTCGTGCTAATGCATAAGAAGAATTCTACCACAGTATTGCAGGCTTGACTACCTGAATAACACATTTCTGAATAACTGGATACGACGAGTAAGGAGCTGTGTTTGGAAAGGGACATACTTTAAAGACTTGGAGAGGACATGGTAGTTTGTTTCTTGAAGGATTACAGAGACTAACTGCTTTTATTGGAGCAGGGCTGGACAGAGAATAATGAAGACCATTAAATCGATACCGACAAAGGGCTCTTGTTGGAAAGACCACATGAAATTGGAGCAGTAGCAGGTCTAAGTGCTGTAAATGCGGAGATTTTCAGGTGTGTTGAGCACACATACAGTGCTGGATTTGTTTTGGACAAATGCATAGACATTGGTTTCTCCTGTTTTACTACAGTTTTCAAAGTCCAATGGATAAAGCCTATACAAGAAAAATATACAAGAGACTGTAACAAAGGTATAAAAGAGTGTAAACAAATATTATTTTATTTAACTGCTACAAGTAGTCTTCTGTAAATCTTATAAAAATGGACACCGTAAATAATAACCCTGATGATCCAGGAAACCAAAGTGCTGCACCAAAGTTCGGAGCAAACTCTTTTTCTTTTTTCAGTAAGATTTCCACAATGTTTGCACGTGTTGGACCTGAACAATCAGAAGCCCAGTCTGAGGAGGATGATAAAGCTGTGCTGATGTCTTTCCAACAGTTTCCCGAAAACGCAAAGAACAATGTAAAAGATTGTCCCGCAAATATAAGTACAAATGGGGATGACAGTCAGATCACAGGTAAAAATACAACTGATAATAGTAAAACTCTAACAAAAGAGGATATTGAGTCTGAAAGTGACTCCAAAAAGTGTTTTTCTGTTGTGCAGCCACACAGTTTCCCAGCACCTGAGGAAAATACTTTTGATGATGTTAAGGACATTGACCTTGTTCAGGTAACTCTGGTCGAGACATACAGTGACACAGAGACAGAGGATGAGGAAAAAGTTTCAGATAATTCCTTAGAGGAGGCAGTCCCCTCTAATGAAGAGAAAAATGGAAAAATAGCTTGTCTCAACACAAGAAAACCACTGGACTTGGCTAGTACTGAAAGTGATGTAATTGACCTGGATATAAAGCTGCCTGCATCGCAAGCACAGGGATTACAAGGAAAATCCTTGGGAGGTACTGCCTTTCTCCAGATTATAAAACCAGAGAAGCCTGACATTGAACATTCTGGCATTATAAACCATGATGTGCCTAAAAATGACTGCAGTACAGATGTGGCTAAAAAAATCAGCAATCCAGATGTGCCTATATATACCACTGGCCCGGAGGCTACTGCTGACATCACTATTCCAGATGTGCTCTGTGATACCAGCCTCCAAGATTTTCCCAAAGATGCCACCAACCAAGATGTGATTTCCAGTTCTGATATTGCAACAAATGTCAGGTCAGATGTACCTAAAGAAATGACTAAGTCAGATGTGCCTTCAGGCTTCAAAGAACCTAATACCTCTGTAACAGTCTCTCAACTAGATGTGTTTACTGATTCCAAAACATTAGAGGGTGACAGAGCAGTAACAGAAGACATTGCAAAATTGGCCGAACAGTTAGAGGATCCCATTGTTGTGCCTGAAGCTGTAGAGCCAGATGAAGAACAGAAGGACAGTGTGAAGCAAAATGCTTCCAGTGGTACAGTGGAATTAGAATTGTCATATACAGTTGCAAACAGAGATGACCTTTCTGATACATCTGGGACAGTTGTTTCTATAGAGTACAAAGAGTCAGGTGAAGACACGGTTACTAAACGAGCACAATGTTTAACTGACACCTTCAAACCAGAATTAGATGCCGATGCTGCTACTGCTAATAATTCCCCAAAAGAACCCACGGAATCATCTGATATCAGAAAGGAAGAGCTTCCACCCTTTCATAAAGCAGCCTTATCTGAAGGAGATGCTGCAGCCAATACCCAACAAACAGTTGTGCCTTCTCAATCCAAAAACCAGGATGGGCCTGCCAGCAGTAAAAAGCCAGATAGTCCTACTTGTACAAGTTTCCCCACAAAAAGCAGCGCACCAGTGGAAAAGGTCTTTCAGCTGCCTGCCCTGTTTAGTGGGCTGAAGGTACTGAAAAAGGGAGCTGTTGGGGAAGAAAGGGAAACGGTCTCTGAGATCAAACACAAAGACACTGATCTGGCCATGCTCAATCTGAAGAAACCTGTCAACAAAGCTAGACTCGTCCCAGAGCCACTGCCAAAGAAACGGGAGCCAAAAGGTGTGGCTGAGCCAAAAAGCAACTTTTTAGAGCATCTTACCCAGCTGTTAAACCTGGATGCTCCAAAAACTGAAGAAAAGAAGGATATGCCTACAGAACCTGGTGAATGTAAGGGTTCAGATGCAAAAGCTACTGAGAAAGCAGAGGAAATTAAACACACCATTCCTCCTGAAGAAAGCAAAGTAACTAGTGCTGAGGCAGCTTTTGATGCTTTCAAAGCATTCTTCACACCCAAGCCTATGAAAAGGGATGTAGTAGATGCTATGGACCTGGATGCAGTGAAGAGAAAAATAAAAAATGACAAAGAAGTACTTAAATCTATATTTGAGAGATCTTCTTCCAGACCTGGAACTTCTGAGAATAAAAGCCCAGTTGATATTAAAGGAGTATGTATTGATTCCTTCTCTATGAACATGTCTGTACTGTATGCTGTCTATAAACTATGTTTTAATGCTTTTCCTATTCGCTTTTCTTCTCTATTGGAATAGCTGAGTCCTTCTTTAAACAGCTGTTTATGGAACATCATGGTCACTCTTTTTAACTTTGGAGTCTGTGGCCAATGTTTTTTTCTTTAATTGGTGCAAATAATTTGTTCTATTTTTTTAACCAACCCATTGTGATACTGGAGAAAACAAGAATATAATTTAGTTTTAAAATTAATACAGAAGCACTACAGGCTGTGGAGAGTAATTAAATTCACAGCCAATGTTCTTTGCCCTGTTCCATTTTACTATTTAATCCAATTAAGCTCTGCTGAATTGACCATGTGACCGTGGTGTTATTGTTCAGTTATGCTTCATATTTAACCCCTACTCTAATTAATTTCTTTCTTTATGGATTTATTCAACATGCCAATACCCTGACCTGACTAGAATTTAGGGTATGCGCCCGTTACATTTGGGATAGGCTACAATGTGCTGCATCCCTTGCTAGGTGGCTTTCTGATAGTGAATGGATGAAATTCTTGACCATGGTTAAAAGTATGCTGAAATTATGTGGAGAAGTGTGTACAGATGGTATTACTGCAAACAGCAGTGTGCATCACAACTGTTAACTCCAAATCAGCCCTTTCCTTTTTTGAATAAAAGGGAAACCACACCTGCAGTGTACGTGTTTCTATACACAGCAATGATTATTTCCTCAGCATACTATTACTGTATGACCAGTTACATATTTTTCTGTCACTGTGTGCTATGCTTCAATATCATTGTGAATTGATTTCTTAAAATAATTTTCCCATTTTCTTTTTCTTGCTCTCTTGCAGTCCGAGGTTACATCACCTACAGACGGTGAAGACAGGACTCCCGGGCGACTGCAGGCCATCTGGCCTCCACCGAAACCGAAGGATGAAGAGGAAAAAGTTGGTTTAAAGTACACAGAAGCAGGTATTGTTAAACATGTATTTGATTATATTGGGCAATTGTATATTTTTGGATTTTATCATTCTCTGAATTAATCTGAGTCAAGGAGAACAAATTATTTAAACCTGATTTTTTTCATTCCTGGTCTTAACAGCATTGCATCCGCTGGATTACATTCCAGCTGAGGTTTTATTTCCTTTTTCACAATTTATTTAAACAAGCATTTTTCATAATTAATTTTCTCAAAAAATGATCTTTTAAACACTGATCTTGACTGATCTTGTGTTCAGATGATTAAATATAGAGAATGGTGGGTTTTAAAATATTTTAGACATCCTAGAGACTGTCAGGAGATTGTAATATTCACGTGACCATCGACAATAAATGTAAATGTTTTCTACACTTATTACAACTTTTATTCGTATATTTTAGTTCAGGTGAGAAGAGACCTAGCTTGTTGTTTGGCAATCATTAATTCTACAGATCATGATCCTTAAAATCAACAACTCAAGACAATACATGAGCAGCCAATCTAAACTGTTGTAGAAATGAATTCATCCATTTCCACATCTATAATAGACTGCTGTGAAAACTGCATACAGTATATAAAAAATATTTGTTAGTTTAAAACAAAATGACTAAAATTGCATCAGAATGTCATCATAGAATTATAGTTCTGCAGAAACAAAGAACAACTGAGTGGAAAGAAAAGAACAAGACGTTTGCACTGGGATTTACTGTGTTTCACTGTATCTTTGATAATTTTTTTCTTTAAAAAATAAAGAGTAAAATAAATGGAGGAAATGGTCCTTATTCTGTAAGAACTGTTATTTTCACAAAAAAGTAAGTGAGCAGGAATTGTTTTTTTGTTTGAATAACAGGAGTTTGTTTGTAATCTCTTAATCTGAATTACCTTGTTTTAAGTAGCTGAATTAGCTAAATCTTTATTGCCAAAGAGCTAATTTAATTGGGTACAAAATCAGGTGATGGTAAAAACAATTTAAACAAGGTCATGAAGCATTGGGCAGGTCGTGATGTTGTAGTAAGACAGACGAGGGTCATAATATAACTTTTAAACTCACTTAAAGAAGGAATGTGCTTAAATCATATACAAAATTGATATTTCTGTTTTTTTTAATTATGAGATAGTCAAGAGGGCACTAAGAAAACGTGGCAGGATTCTAGTACTACAAACAGCATTGCTAATATTTCCTATATACTGTACGGTATATAAAAGGTCAGTTTGCCACAGATGACAGTAGTAGCCTTTTAAGATTGAAAAAACATACAGTAATAATACATGAATCTCCTTTACTTATTTAAAGAAGAATTTGAAGTTATTTATTGAATTGCACATAATTGTTAGACATTAACTGAAAGAACATTGCAACCTAAAACCCAGCTTCACTGGAAAATTGAACAAATAACATGTCCATATTTTACAAGGGTTTTCCAGAAAGTAATGTCCCACTTTCATTTTCTTGTTCTAAATGAACTAGTCCTTTGGCTATTAAGTGTCGTCATCAGTATAAGCTCTCCAATAAGAAAAAAGGAAAGCTAGATCTTACAGTACTGGGTGTTTCATAATTTTGTTATTATAATGTTTTTTTAAATGTGAAGGCATTATTTTCTGATTGTCCCCTGTATTTAAATACAGTATACTGTATATGCATAAGGCATTAGCTGTTTGAGCTTGGGCTCTGTCAGAATCAGTGTGGGGTTGAGTGATTCTGAGTGACCCAGGGAGTCCTGGGTCATTTAGCTGTGACCCAGTTGTCGGTTCCAGCCTCATTATTCCTGCAGATGATCCTAACTGAGCTTATGAGCTTTATGTGGTACTTGCAAGGTGCAAAATGGTGCATTGATGTGTCAGCACATTTCAGAGGAGATCAAGTGCTATTTGACCCATCCTGTTGGGAGGGGACCTAAAGTAAGATGATTTGTATTGCATTATATACTGTACAGTATATACACTATACTTTAGTCACTATATACTGTATTATAGGATATCAATTTGAATTTTTAATGAATTTGTTAAAATCCGACAAGAAGCACATAAAATATGAAATTTTGTATTCATTCTTTGTTTTTCTGAGTTGTTATTATTAAAATAGGGTATACACAAGCATTTTCTGATGCAATGGAAAGACCACCCACACTCCAGCCAAAGATTATACTACAAGAATGTGCATTTTCAATAAAGATATTACGTGCTTTTTATACTGTGCAACTTCTTTACTGAAAACTGTTCTTAATGTAACTGTAACTATACCTTCAGTATTTCAAGAATGATACAAATACATTTTAATAAGAACTTTTAGATCTGGTTATACAAGCATAAAGGTTTTTATTTTTAGTTTTTGTCTTTATTATACTGTAATTCATCCCATTCATACTGTACTTTTCAAAAATAAAAGTGCAGAATTTAATTGTTGTCAGCTTTGGAAATAAAACAATCAAGCACTGGAAATAATTGTGGATTTTTGGCCACAAAGTACAGTTCCAACCAATCACCACCTCTTTTTTGCAGCCAGCATTAATCATTGCATATGGCCAGTCTATTAATCCTAATGGGACTGGGAAATGTTTGTCAGATATTTGGTAACTGAAAGGCCACAAACAATTTTTACGTTTGTTGTTCTTGACAGTATAGGTCCTCAGTGTAGTTACTGTACATCACTATAATCTTGATCAAAGATGCTTTAAATGTGAAGTTATTGAGTAAAATATCATTACAAATGGGGTGTTATGAAAACTGATAAAATAAGAAACTGAGAGAGTGGATGCATCAGTAAGTAAAATAAATAATCATAACCACCAACTTGTAAGGATATAATCAAGAATATACCAAGGATATTTGCCAAGAATATACCCAAGTGGTTAGTATAGTGAGAGACACATGAATTCTTCTTTCTTTGTAACCAGTTGGTTAAACAAATATTAACAATACACGCACTAGCACACACAACATAAACCTAAAATACTCAGAAAAACCCCAGACTACAACCAAGTATTCATAGATACATAACGCCTACAAAGGCCACAAAGAAGAGATAAACTGCCTTCTAAATTAAATAAGATACTGTACAGCCCATGGTTAAATCTGTCTCTCTGTAGAACCAAATGCAACAAAATAAAGGGTAACCTGTCTCCCTATTCTAAACTGCACCCACTAACCAGGAGAGCACATGCACATTTTAAACAAAGGGGTTCTTACCACAGGAAATTCCTAAAGAGAATTTAAAATTTCCTAAAAAAACACAGTTGTAAGCTCTCGGTATTTAGTCAAGGACCTCTTGCCTAGCACAAGTTTTACTGTATGTTCTTCTCTATCTCTTGCTGTCTGTTCCCTCTCTTGTTCTGTCCTCTGTCATTTATCCTACACTTCTGACACTCTGACAATCATTTACCCAAGAACTTAGTTAACTGAGGTAAACCAGAAGATTCTTTTAATAATAATTGCTTACACTTATATAGTGCTTTTCTGGACACTCCACTCAAAGCGCTTTACAGGTAACGGGGACTCCCCTCCACCACCACCAATGTGCAGCATCCACCTGGATGATGCGACGGCAGCCATAGTGCGTCAGAACACTCACCACACATCAGCTATCAGTGGGGAGGAGAGCAGAGTAATGAAGTCAATTCATAGATGAGGATTATTAGGAGGCCATAATTGGTAAGGGCCAAAGGAAATTTGGCCAGGATGCCGGGGTTACACCCCTACACTTTACGAGAAACACCCTGGGATTTTTAATGATCACAGAGAGTCAGGACCTCGGTTTTACATCTCATCCGAAGGATGGCGCCTGTTTACAGTATAGTGTCCCCATCACTATACTGGGGCATTAGGACCCACATGGACTGCAGGGTGAGCTCCCCCTGCTGGCCCCACTAACCCCTCTTCCAGCAGCAACCTTAGTTTTTCCCAGGAGGTCTCCCATCAAGGTACTGACCAGGCTCACACCTGCTTAACTTTAGGGGGTTGCCAGTTATGAGTTGCAGGGTGATATGGCTGCTGGTCTTTTGATCAGTGCGTCTCAAACTCAGCACAACTACGTAAAAATCCCTTGATTTGAGTGGAAATATTGACATTAGTTAGGTGTTACTATTTAGTCTGGATTCTTAGATTCTTTGAGACACCTCCATTGTTACCTACCTCAGCTGGTAATAGTATCTCAGCAGGACTTTATTAAAAAAGCCTCTACATGGTTGTTAATATAACACTGCAGGACAGTGGCACAGAGCACAGTGGTTCAGTTTACAGGTGTTCTTCTGTGTTTCGATTTGGAGAGTGGCATTTACTGTATTCATCATCAAAATCAGAAAGCTTGGAATTGCATTTTTTTACTTTACTGTTGTTTATAAGTATGTAAATGACCCAATGTCTGTGTGAACAAAAGCAACAATTAGTCTCAACAATTAAGATTGAAATGATAGAAAATTAAATGTGCAGAGTGCAACACATCATGTTATCCCATCCTATATCATTACTTTTTGACAAATAATCCAGTTTAGATGAAGAAATGATTTTGCTTGTTGTGGTTTGAAGGATTCAGCACAGTACAATAAGAGTATGTTATTTCTCAACAGTTCATTTAATTTAACCCCTACATACATTACATATTATTTCACATGGCTTTATTCTAATAGCAACTATACTATTATTATCATTGGTTTTAGATTAGCCTGGAGAGAACTAAAGCTCTTAGGCTCAAAGTCAGAACCCATTTGTTCCAGTTAGGCACACAACGTGGTGTTTGAAAACATGGATTAACATAATGTAACAAATTGTGAAACCAGACATTTGAGTTAGAGTACAGTATGTGGAAACACTTCCACTGCATTTACAAAATATTAGCTGTGAATGATTAGAACAGGTAAGCATTTGTCTCATATGATGCCCTTTATGATTATATTGGTTTTTTAACAACTGTATCAGCAAATAATTAGAGCATCTTGTAATCACCATTTTTTCATATTGCAGATTTAAAGTTTGCTACATCTTATCCTGGGTGTCAGTGCTCTTTATGCACACTGGGTTATTTATGTTAATTTAATTTTCTTTGTAAATAGAAAAATAGCAAAGCACATTAAGTGTGAAGTAATATTTGCAGAACTTAACCTAAATGTGTTGTTGTGTGAAGCTGTGAATTTACTTTTTTTTGTGAGTACTGGGGTGAATATATATAATGCCTTCCTTGTATAAGTACTACATGTTCTTCCCAAGGTGTATAGTATGAAAATTAGACTATTAATGTATTAATACTGCCACACAGTGGATTGGGGAAATCATAGCAGTCTTTATCTGTTACTGTTTTAAAATGTCTGCAATTTTAAAAAGAAAATGTATTGTATTGTATTCTATTGTAAAACCTGTTAAAGTTACAATTTATAAATTCCTGAAATTAAATCATCACATTGTGCCTCTCAGCTTGCATTTTAAGCACATTCATTTAAAAAAAAATGATTCGTTTCACATGGAATTCTTCAGAATAAAGCTAGTTTGATTTTACTGGTACCATTTTTTACTCTTTAATTGCTCTTCTAAAGGGTAAGAAGAGTGATTGACAAACATGTATTGAAGTGAAGGTTTAAATTTGCTCCATGTAACTGATCACATAAAATAAATCTGTGTTAATTGATTTATAGTTTTAATATCTCATCCTTAATATTGGTGTTTTATACTTGATTTGCCGGTATCTGAAAATGAAATTAAAATAAATACTGGTTAATTGTGGGTGACTGATAAAGTCTTTAGGCCTAATGAAATTACGACTGGATTGTAGGATGAACAGGGGTTAAAGTCAAATGCTGTACAACATCTGTTTTTATCATTGCAGAACATCAGGCAGCTCTTCTACAACTGAAGAGAGAAAGCAAAGAAGACATAGAGAAGATAAATGTAAGTAAAACATTTCTTGACAATAAGGTCTAGCTACTGTACGTATTTGTACTATTTTCCTTACCAGTATTTGTCGTCTATCTCCACTAAACATATAATTTATAATTGTATAATATAAAAATATAATTGGAGTTTGTGTATGTATGTTCTGTGCCATGTTGTAGTCCTGACAGCACCCTCCAGCTCTAGAAATGCAGAATGGAAAATATCTAACATAGCACGTAGCATACGTTTGACAGGGAAATGAGCCTTTAAATATAAGACATTGCATTGTGTTGGTCTGTGGTGGCAGGCATTTAAGTATTAAAGTATTTCAGAAATGTGAATTGCACCATAAACTATTTATTTAAAACAAAATAAATTCATTGCAAAAAATTATGGGACCAACGCAAAGATTTATGGTCTGTTTATTTCTATGGTTTCTACAAGGCTTTATTAGACCCAAGGATTTGTTAGATATGAAGTATAAACATAAATATAATGTACCTAATTACAAGTAGACAAACTTTTTTAAGTTAATATAAGAGTGAGCTCTAACTGTTAAAAGTATTTTTTACATTTGTCAAATGAATTTCTTTAACCATATCAGGGGATTCTGTTGTTTAAAGTTTCCCAAACCAGATGTACTTACCCAAATTCTTTTGTACATTTCCATAATCCTAGAGGGCCAACATTTCATTTAATAACAATATTATGCTCCTTGCCAGCAGCTACTGTATATCACCCTGCAGCTCTCAACTGGCTAACCACTGAAGCTAAGCAGGGTTGAGACCTCCTGGATGGGAGACCTCCTGGGAAGCTATGGTTGCTGCTGGAAGTGGTGTTAGTGTGACCAGTGGGGGGCGCCCACCCTGCGGTCTGTGTGGGTCCTAATGTCCCAGGATAGTGGCAGGGACACTATACTGTAGTGGGCGCCGTCTTTCGGATGAGACGATAAACCGAGGTCCTGACTCTCAGTGGTCATTAAAGATCCCCGGGCATTTATCGATATGAGTAGGGAGTTATCCCGGTGTCCGGGCCAAATTTCCCCCCTCAGGCTTTACCGTGGCCTTCAAATTGTCCCCATATATGATTGGATTGCACTTGCCCTCCCTTGGACTGGCACCCTATCCAGGGTGTACCCTGCCTTGCGCTCATTGCTTGCTGGGTAGGCTCCAGCTTCCCACAACACTGTACTGTATGGTATAAAATGGTTTGGCAAATGACATGACATGACATTATGCCCCTTAATAAGAAGTATTCATATACTGTAGCGTGCTGACCCATGAATCAAATCTGAATTGCCTTTGCGGCAGTAAAAGAAAAATGGAATTAAAACTGAGAGCTTCTAAAATAAGGCTGGTATAGCTATAGACAAACAAGCAGTAAAAACAAACATCAATGACACAGCAGTTTCTCCCTGACTGGGAACAGACTGTAGCTGCTGTATATTTTTATTGCTTTATGTATTTTTAACGTACTGTACCAAAAAGGATAGGGGGTTTATTTTGTGTGGTTTCATTTTTCTCTTACTGGTATTTAATGCTGTGTCACAGCAATAATGTCTTTATTGTCTTTTTAGTCTTACAAACATCATGTGTAAGACTTGTTCATTTCATCAGATGTGTTTATTTATATTAAGGATGTCGAATTCAGTAACAGCTTGCTATTGTGAATTTCCTTCTTTTTTTTAATTTGGAGGGTAGTAAAAAAGTACCCATATGTATTTTTAAAGGAGAGATCAAGTCATTATGAAAGATTTGTAATTTTAACTACAGCCTGAAAACCTGAAAAGAAAAATAGTATTTTCTTATATGACTACAAGTAATTATGCATATAAACTTTAAAAAATCCATTTTTATATGATGCATACAGTATAAAAACAATGTATTTCATGACATAAACATAAACCTGATCTGCCATGATAATGTTTAGCTAAACATGCAAAAGGCGAAACCTTTATTTCAGAATGTTAGATGTGATTTTAGAGATAGAGGCTGTGCCGTGCATTTTATTAGTATCCTCAGTTTCCACTTAAACAGGAAAAGGATTGTATATACAAGGGATCAGACAAAATTTGACTCCAAAAATTCATATTTACAGATTTCCAAAAGGGATCAAATTAAAATATAGATCAGCTGTAATTGGGGGATAGTTCAGATCAAACTGCTCATTAATATTAACATTGTACAGTAACATAAATTACTATGCCAACTAAAATATAGGGAGCAGAGCTGTATGACATTACTTTTTTTGTAAAATAAAACCATGCTAGTTTTGTGGTAAATTGCTAGACCCTTTCTTGTAATTCTATCTTTAACTCGCTAGATGTCACTGATCACTAAACAAGAATTGTAAATTCTTTTGGAGAAGACAGTGTGTATTTGAATCAGTTCTATGACTGATGTGAGATGTCTGAAGTAAAAAAGGTTTTATTATTTTAAGACAGAAATATACAGTACTTAAATTTATCAGGAGACTATGCTAGACATATATGAGCTAACAGTTATCATAACTTTCATTTTTGAAAATTTGGAATTTGAAATTTTGCAGACACGCTGCTCATTTGAGATATAAAAGAATACGATTTCTGGATTTAAATTATGTTATCTGCCTTAGGTCGAGACTCTTATTACAAATGAAATGATCTGCATAGGATCAAGACTGTATAACTAAGTGACATATTTAGAAATTTTGTGATGAATGAAAACTCAAAAATCAGGGACAGATTTGCAAAAACTGCAAACCCAGTCCCCTCCTGGAATGTCTGTGTCAATGCTATTTGTCATCAGAAGTGTAAAGGACTGAAACAGAAGTTTGTGGTTGGTAAAAGACAACAGATACTAATCGGTGGCTAATTCTGTTGATTCTGAAGTCCAGCTCCTTCTGAATAGATGACTGTTCACAACATTCAATCTGCTTAGCATCTTCTTTGCATTATCAAAGTCCTAAATTTGTACTTTTAAGCCAGAGCTCTCATGATAGCTTAATGGGGAGAAGCTAGCAGCTATTTTTGTCATTAGAATAGAGTTTATTCAGATAAGCTATGCTGACAGTCAAAGCTCTAAACACCCTGAGTAGTAAGCCATTGCAGTCTGAGAGTAATCACAAAAGCACTGTGAAGTGTCTAAGGCATTTTAGGAGGACATTTTGTGTGGGCTGTTTGTCATTTGGAAGCAGTAATTTGCTATAAATCAGCCACATTTTCTCAGAACCTTAAGGTTACCTCAGTGTCTGTCTCTAACAAAGAAGGGATTTGTGGAACAAACATTCAAGATGTTGGAAAAGCTATGCTGTATGTCCCATCAAACTGCCTGGATATTATTACATTTTATTGTTTTTTAAAGAAATTAGCTTGGCTAGAAATCAGAAAACAAAACCACTGGAATTTGATCATACATAAAGCAAGAGTTTCTGGAGTAGTTCAACATGATGTGTGGTTTTTAAATATACAGCACTTCTTCACAAGAGGGCTCTTTATGTTATGTCCTTCTATTTCTACAAAGGAAAACATAATAACTTCAGACCTGTTTAATATATTGTACCAAATATAGTAACATTGACTTTACATACTAATTAAACATTTCATGGGATGTCTTATTGAGACATCAAGTCCTGACATTCTTTACAAGCTGGGAAGATGCAAGTTAACATTTTACATATTGTTTCAATGGAATAGAACATTACACGGGATTAGATGATTAAGCCACTTGTTGCTTAATTTAAATTATATTATATAATTATAATTGTACAATATTATTATATTATATTTATATATTATATCATTATTATTATATTTAGCTCATATTTGTTTAATCTATTTTTCTAACTTTGTTTTTTTAAGTTCCATTTTATCTTAATAAGTCTGAAGTCATTTCTTATTTATTGTTATTTTAATCAAAATAATTATTATTTTATTATTTGTCTTTTTATTGCTTACTAGTGTGTACCATTACATCTACTTCAAGACAAGGGCTGCGTAAAAATGGCATAATTATCTTTCATACTACACCTGTACTTTTTTTACATCCATTCCTCTGGAAATGCAGGAGGGTGGATGTACAAAAGGGAACAGTTAGAAACATTTCCCTGTTTTAATTAATCTATCAGACTGCCTGTCCATTCTTCTGTCCACAGTGGTAAAACACTAATGAACCTGAACTTTATTGCCATACAGTATGTAACATGTACATGTACTGGTACAACGGAAGTCTTACTTACAGAAAGTCTCTCTATTGTTATAATAATGTAAAAAGCACAAAGTGCAGACAGTGCATCAAGACAGCATACAAACAGTAGACAATGTACAAGTAAACAAGTAAACAATTTGAATGTAAACAATGCAGACATGTAAACAATGACTGCAGATGTGCAATAAATAAGTATGGTCCAAGGCCAAATGTGTTCGCCAATCGCACTGCTTCTGGATAGATGTTATTGAAGAATCTAGTGGTAAATGTCCGTATGCTCTTGTATCTCTTGCCTGAGGGCAGTGGGGTGAAGAGCTCATGACTGGGGTGGTGACTGTCCTCTGTGATGGCCAGAATTCTACCACAGCAGTGGTCCTCATAGAGCTGTTTAATCTCTGTGAGACCAGTGCAGATGATCTTCTGTGCCACATTTATCATTCTCTGCAGCTGGTGACTGTTTCCACTTCCGTTCCATCAAAACCGAGTGGGATGTGAGTGTGCGGCCTGTGCCTCTGAAAGTCCACTATTAGCTCTTTTGTTTTAATCACATTCAAGTCCAGGTTATTGCTATGACACCACCTCAGCACCTGTATGACTTCATCCCTGTAAATGGACTCGTCATCATCGCTGATCAGGGCTATTATGGTGATGTCATCTGAAAATTTAATGATGCGGTTGCTGCTGTGTCTTGCTGTGCAGTTTTGAGTGAATAGGGAGTACAACCTTGGACTCAGACAGCAGCCTTGTGGGCTGCCAGTGCTCAGGGTGAGTGGTGTTGATGCTTTATTACCTATATGCACCACCTGTGGTCTCTCGATTAGTACGTTCAGC